TACTCCTGAAATCATTGTTGCACTATATGCTAACTAACTTGGATGTACATTTTTTAAAATAATTAATTAATTAATTAAAAAGAATTTCTATTTGGTTGGGTTTTTAAAGATTTTTTTTATTACATTTATTTATTTTTGAGAGGCAAAGTGAGACAGAGGGCGAGCGGGGGAGGGGCAGAGAGAGACGAGACACAGAATCTGGAACAGGCTCCGGGCTCTGAGCAAGCATTCAGCACAGAGCCTGACGTGGGGTTCAAACCCATGAACGGTGAGATCATGACCTGAGCCGAAACCAGACACTTAACCAACTGAGCCACCCAGGCACCCATGGTTGTTTTTTATAATTTCTATCTCCCTACTGAGGTTCTCTATTTATTTTAACATTTTATTTATTTTTGAGACAGAGAGAAACAGAGCATGAACGGGGGAGGGGCAGAGAGAGAGGGAGACACAGAATCGGAAGCAGGCTCCAGGCTCTGAGCCATCAGCCCAGAGCCCGACTCGGGGCTCGAACTCACGGACCGCGAGATCGTGACCTGAGCTGAAGTTGGACGCTTAACTGACTGAGCCACCCAGGCACCCCTTTTTGAACAGATTTATAATAGCTCATGTGAGTCTCTAATACAGGTGGCCAACAGACACATGATAAGATGCTCAACATCACTCATCATAAGGGGAATGCAAATCAAACCTATCATGAGATATCACCTCACACCTGTCAGAATGGCTAAAATCAAAACTGTAAGAAACAACAAGTGTTGGCAAGGATGTGGAGAAACAGGAACTCTTGTGCAGTGTTGGAGGGGGGAGTGCAAACTGGCACAGCCACTGCCATTGTGGGGCAGTAATGAAGATTCCTCAAAAAATTAAAAAGAGAACTACAGGGGCGCCTGGGTGGCTCAGTCGGTTAAGCAGCCGACTTCGGCTCAGGTCACGATCTTGCAGTCCATGAGTTCGAGCCCCGCGTCAGGCTCTGTGCTGACAGCTCAGAGCCTGGAGCCTGTTTCAGATTCTGTGTCTCCCTCTCTCTGCCCCTCCCCCGTTCATGCTCTGTCTCTCTCTGTCTCAAAAATAAATAAACGTTAAAAAAAAAAAAAAAAGAGAACTACACTACAATCCAGCAATCACACTACTGAATATTTAACCAAGGAATACAAAAACACTGAATTCAAAAGGATATAGGCAACCCTATGTTTGTCGCAGCAATATTTATAATAGGCAAATTATGGAAGCAGCCCAAGTGTCCATTGATAGATGACTGGATAAAGAAGATGTGGTCTACATATACAATGGAATATTGTTCAGCCATAAAAAAGAATGAAGTCTTCCCATTTGCAATGACACAGATGGAGCTGGAGAGAATAATGCTAAGGGAAAAAAGTCAGGGAAAGACAAATACTATATGATTTCACTCATATGTGGAATTTAATCAACAAAGGAAAAATGAGGGTGAGAAAGACAAAGCGAGAAACAGACTCTTAACTACAGAGAACAAACACACTGGTTACCAGAGGAGAGGTGGGTAGGGGGATGGCTGAAACAGGCGAAGGGGTGAAGAGCACATTTATCATGATGAGCACTGAGTAACGTATAGAATTGGTGAATCACTATATTTTACACCTAAAACAAAAATAACACTGGTTTTAAACTAAAAAAAAACTAAAAAAAAAAAAATAAAAAGGAAGAAAAAAAGACAAAGAAAAATTAAACTAAGAAAAATAAATAAAATCTTTGTCTAGGAAGTTCAACATCTAGCCTTCTTCAGGGGCAGTTTCTAGTGACTGATTTTTTTCCTGTGTATGGGCCATACTTTCCTGTTTCTTTTCAGGTTTTATATATATACAGATAGAGAGAGAGAGATTTATTTTTCCTTTTGAAAACCAGATCCTCCTAGGGGCACCTGGGTGGCTCAGTTGGTTAAGCAGCCAACTTCGGCTCAGGTCATGATCTCACGGTCTGTGAGTTCAAGCCCCACGTCGGGCTCTGTGCTGACAGCTCAGAGCCTGGAGCCTGTTTCAGATTCTATGTCTCCCTCTCTCTCTGACCCTACCCCGTTCATGCTCTCTCTCTGTCTCAAAAACAAATGTTAAAAAAAATTTTTTTTTTTAAATTTATTTTGAAAACCAGATCCTCTAGATATCATCTGGCAACTCTGAATATGACACCACCACCACCACCACCCCTGCCGGGGTTCGTTGCTACTGTTGTTTGTGTATCCATTTGTTTAATGACTTTCTGGGACTAGTTCTGTAAGGTCTACTTTTTTTTATTTTTTTTAATGTGTATTTATTTTTGAGACAGAATGAAACAGAGCACGAGTTGGGGTAGGGGCAGAGCGAGAGGGAGACACAGAATCTGAAGCAGGCTCCTGGCTTTGAGCTGTCAGCACAGAGCCTGACGCGGGGCTTGAACCCACCAACCGTGAGATCGTGACCTGAGCCGAAGCCGGACGCTTAACTGACTGAGCCACCCCGGTGCTCCTGTAAGGTCTATATTCCTTGTAGCATGCAGCCACTGATGTCTCCACTCAGTTAGCTTAATAGTCAGCTAATGACTGGACAGAGATTCCCTTAAATGCCTTGAGCTATAAATCTTCCGCTCTTTGCCAAGGAGCTCTGTGGGTTGAGGCATGCCTTCAATGCTCAGGCAATTTACAACTCTGTCTTACTGTTTACTTTCTGCTTGCACAGCACCTCAAGGGAAGCCAGAAGTGAGAGACTGGGGCCCTCTCAGGCCTTTCCAGACCATGCACGTAGTCGTTCAGATCCCCAGAAATATACCAGAGTTTTTCAAAGTCCCCTGTGAACATCTATCTTCTCAGGTCTTCCTTTTAAATTTTTGGCCAGGCTCATGTTTGCCCCAACTGGTATCTCAGTCTTAGGTAGCTGTGATGTTAAGCAACTGAAGCTGATTATATTTGACAAATGCCCTGGGAATAGGGGTTTTCCTGAGTAGAGAGCTCCAAATTGGATTAAGTAATGACAACACCCCATAAATCAAGCTTTTCCAATGAATTGCCATTCAGGTCAAATAGTGATGATGCTTGGGTGATAGAACTTTCTGAGATGTTCCTAACCCAATCTGTCCCCTTAAGAGCTTCCAGGCTGCTGGTTTTTAAGGCTACTATGGAGCTGGGACTAGAGGGATGGCAGTAGGCCAAGTCAATACCCCACAAACCCCACTGTTCTTACCAAACCTGAGCAGTTTCTCTTGGATAAACCCCTCGTCAGATTGTTGTTAGGCTTTGGTGAATAGCTAGAGTTCTAGAAAAAGTTGATTTTTTACAATCTTGCCAATATTTTTGTTGCCTTTATGGAGGAATGGATTTACAGAACTCCTTACTCCACCATTGCAGAAGTCTCCCTGCTCCGGTTACAGATCCGTTCTAAGACCAGGCTTGCTTAGGGGTTAACTACGAAGAAGGTATTCCCTGGAAATACGATTAAAGTAATGCCCCTGCCTTGGAGGTGTCTGGGTTTAACAACAAAAGGACACTTAAAAAGATGAAAAAAGGATCTACAGGAATCATTCCAAAATAACCGGGGTGACATGGGGGCCCTTGGTAAAACTCAGTAGGCTGTCAGGACTCACACCCGGATCCCTGACGCCTCGCCCACTGACCTCTTGGCTGCTTCTCCTGGGAGATGCCTTTTCCAGGAGAAGGGAGATGCTGTATTTTGAGTATTTCATCTAAGGTACAAGTTTCATACTCACTATTCTCAGACACGCCAGCAAACACAATGATCTTATTTCCACTTTACAGATGAAGAAACTGAGGCTCGCAGAAATCGAGGCACATGACCAAAATTAGACCACTCACGAGTGGTGGAGAGGGGATCCGACTCCAGAGTGTGAGCTACGCCCTTCTCACCAAACCCAACGCACTGACCCACGGGCCGGCAATGGTGTGGGTAGGGAGGCGGTTGATGAAGCATCATTACAAGTCTGAGCACAACAGTCGGACCTGCCTTTTTAGTCCTCTCTCTCGGGAGATAGGACTCGATACCACTGGTCACAGTAGAAGAACAGCAGCAAAGTATCAGGTATGGCTTGCCCCCGCCACAAGCACCTGCTGAGGTGGGCTCTTGGGTCAACTCCTCCCTTCGTTCAGGAGTCAGAGCCTCCTGGAAGTCCCCCCAAAATCAAGGGTGGCAGGGGCAAAGCCCGGCTGTGACTTCAGGCCTGGGAGTGTAGGACCGTCCCCTTCACGTGCTCAGCAGAATAAAGTCCACAGACCTGAATGCCCAAGCCCCACCCAGTCCACCGCAAGCGTAGGGTGTATCCGGAGAGGACAGAGGGTTCCCCAATGCCCTAGCATCCCGACAGGCCACAGCTCCATCCACTCCCCCTGACTGTGGCAAAGAGGACATATTCATTGCAAATCATTCCCAAAAGACAAACTTTATTTTGACACCTCAGAATTTGGCAAGGAAAAAGGCATAGCAACGACAGTATAGTCTCACGTGCGGAAACCTCTTCAGAAACGCGATCTCACTGGAACCTCACAATCACCCTGCAAGGCAGGCAAGCAGGTCTCTCCTATCCACTTTCTGGAGGATTTGTCAGGGGTCACCCAGCTTCCACACAGGACTGTACACATTCCACCCAGATGCCTCTGTGTGTCTGGTCCAGGCTCCTCAATACCCAGGGGTGGGCTGGGATTTCACCAGATACATGCAGTTACCTTAACTTCCCCAGCTATGAAACTAGGGATCAGGCTGTCTCATCTCTATATAAGGGCCCTTCTCATGGATGTGACCTATGCGTACCATGATTACTAGGTCTATGGTGGCTGGACCAGGCGGCCAGCCAAAAGCCTTGGCAAGCCCTGGGCACAAATGAACTTGGAGCCAAGCAGGGGGGGACCAGAAGCCTGCTGGCCCACTGCTGAGCCACTTTCTACAGGAACCCCACTAGGAAGGGAGTTCTGATGTGGGCAGAAAAAGGGGCTCCTCCTTGCTCCACGGACCCCAACCTGTTGGGGAGGGGGAAAGAGCCTCCCTGCCCCCATCTCTTGTTGATGACCAGCTTTTCGGACTCTTCTCCAGAACGGAGGTGGGGCTGCACCTCCTCCCTCTGGCTCAGAGCTAGATTCAATTTGCTACCTGCATCAGGAGGCCCTCCCCAGTCCTCAGAATGGGTGGGCCCCACGATGGGACCACCGCCTTGATCTCCCAGCGACATACAGGGCATTTGGCCAAGTCCCTGAAGACCCGCAAGGCACAGTAGCTGCAGAAGTGTGTGTGGCCGCAGGGAACCAGGCAGGTGTTGGCAGCGTGGTGGAAACAGATGGCACATTCCTCTCCTGCTGTGGCTGGGAAAGGGGACAACACGAGTTGGGGCACGTGGGGGCAAAGCGCGGGCAGCCTACTCATGCTATAACCACAGGACAGAGAACCAGGCAGGCCTATTTTGACTATTAATGAGAAAATGCTCACAACATAACCAAATGAAAAGAAATGGGAAGAAAACCATACTGCACGTACATATATATCATAAAATTCCAACTTGGAAAAAAAAGAAAAACAGCACAATTCCTCATAGATATATGACTACAAAATAGTAGGAGGAAATCCCCCTAAGAGGCAGTGGTTATTTTTTTTTTTTACTTCCTTATGTATCCTCTAATATTTATTTTCTTTCCGTTTGGCAAAACTTTTATTACGAACATGGACTGCTTTTTCAAGCGGGGACAAAACAACGTTACTTGTTCACGAATGTGCTCTTGTAACTTGAAAAGTTAGCCAATGTTCTAGAAGGCAAAGCTACTAAATTGCTTTTAGGTTTCTAGCAGGCAGAGCCAAATCTTTTGGCCTAAAGCCCGTGGGAGACTTCGTGGGACTCGGAAGGATTTTAGCCAGTTCCCAGCGCTGGGGCCTCCCTGGGGTGGGGGTGGGGGTGGGGCCTCTGGTGCTAGAGTCCTGGGGAGCCTGTCCCTGGCTCGCTGGGCTCGGGGAAGCCACTCACCTTCCGGCTGCAGAGACTCATCGATGAGGGCCCGTGGCACGGTTGAGGGGAAGGCACTGGCTGTGGGATCTGAGGGAGAGAGGGAAACTCAGGACCCAGGAAAGCAAAGCCCAGGTGCTTCCACCCTACCAGGCCCTTGAAAGAGTTCCACCTGCTTGCTTGCAGTGCTGGAGCTCCCCGCTGATCTTATGGCCCCAGCCACCCCTTCCCCAGTTCGCCCCAGCAGAGAATTTGTGAAGCTGTCAACGCTTTTTCCTAAAACCACCCTTCCTTTAAACATCTCCCCTTTGCCCTGGTGCTGCCGCCTGACTGGAGACCCTCAGCGTTACCCACCTTCCTAAACCCGGATGTGCATTAAAATCCCCCAGGAGGTGGGGAAAACAGGTGCTTGGCTCTACCCCAGACCTACCCAATCGGGCGTCCCAGGGGCGAGACTTCAGCCGCTGTGACAAGGGATTTTATAACCGGTAGGGGTGGGGGAAGAGGACATGGACTGCTTGTGTAGGCCGGTGGACAACCAGCACAGGAATGCCAGTATTTCTTTCTATAGACGTTTCCTGTATCCACTCTCCCTCAAGTCCACTCTCCTTTCAGGTGGCTAGAGGCATGGTTACGGTTTCCCCACTCATTGACTGGACGGCTCACTCTGCCCCCACCGGCAGTCTTCCTGTGCACCTCTAACCGCTTCCACTTCTGTTCCCTTTGCTTGCCACCCTTGACTCCCCTGAACTCCTACTAAGGCAGCAAAACCCAGCCCCCGACCTCTCCTTTTGTGAAACAGCCCTCTGACAGATGTTTGGAGTGCTAGTCATAGCATTCCCTAGGGACAAGGCTGCCCTCCCTTTGACTGGGGTCTTGTCCATCTGGCGTCTCCAGTGCCAGTGACGTAAAACTGACCGTATAGAAAAAGATGAAAGGATCTCCCCACGGCTCTGGATGGGGACGCAGTACCACCCGAGCTACCCGAGGGGCGGTGCCCGGGTCCTCGCGGATTGTCTCACCCAGTAGCTTGATGGCCTTGGTGGTCCCGTACACGTCCATCACGGCCCAGAGGGGGGCGCCCATGAGCACGCCCTTGCGCAGCAGCAGCCGGGGGCCCGAGTTGACCCTGACGAAAAGCCGGCCCCTGCGGTTCACCCAGAAGCAGACCACGTCCCCCGCCAGCGCGCAGCCCTCGGGCAGCATGGCCGCCCATGTCGGGCTCTGCAGCTCCAGGTCCGGACACACGAAGGGTGGCAGGCTGGGCGCGGACACCCGCGCGGGGTCCAGGCGCGTGAAGCCCACGCGGAGCCCGCCGCACCAGCCGCCCTCGTGCCACACCACGCGGACCGCCACCCGCTCCCCGGGAAGCACCGGCCGCTGGCTGAACACGATGCCGTCGTGGAACGTGGCGTTCCTGCGCGCAGTGCACCGCTGGGCGTCTAGACGCACCTGCGCGCCCTTGGCCTCAGGGTGGAAGCGCAGTGTCTCCCGGGGCGCCTTGGTGTCTGCGGAGATGGGGGGGGGTGGGGGGGGGATGGTGACGTCAGTGTGGTCTGGATTCGGACTCATTTGTTCCCCAGAGCTATCTCCGCCCCCCACCCCCGCATCTCCCCGGGGCCATTGCCCCTGCCCTCCTCCAGGGAGCCCCCAGAGACCTGATTAGAGCCTGGTGAGGAGCACACTTTGCATGTCTGGGATCTGAATTCCCACTGTGAATTCCCCCACCTCAGTTCCCCTCCCGGAGGGATGTTGTAAAATCACGCCTACGTGTACCGGCTCTAAATACCTAGTCACGGTTATTGGCATTAAATAGAAAGAGCAGGTGTTAGAAATAGTATACATAATATGATCCAGGTTTTGCTCGACACATATGTTTAATATACACACATATATTCTCCCTGTATCTAGAAACAACCTGAGAGGAGATGGGTCTGCTAATGGTGCTCAGCTCTGGCAGACGGGTCCTGGTATTAAAGCTGTTTTCCTCTCTGTTTGTCTGACTTTATGATTGTCCCACAGAAAACCTGCATCATCTGTGAAGGCCATGGCCCCCAGTGAGGGTGACTTCCTTTTCCTAGGAGAGAAAGGGGTCCAACAGCTCCCCCACAGAGCCAGGTGGGGCGGCACAGGCTAGAGAGGGAGTCCCAGGTTGTGGCGGGGGTGGGGTGTCAGAATGGTGGGCTGGGCCAGCCAAGGCCAGGGCTGAGCTTTGAAATCCGGGGACTTCCCGACCCCACTCCACTTGGCAGTCGGGAGGGGAAGTTCCCTACTGGGCAGCCTTTCCTCTCAAGCCTCAGGCCTGAGCCTGGAGGAAGCTGGTGAGCTTCCTGAGCCAGAGCTGCTCTCCTCCCTTACCCCCCTCTTGTCCTGTTCTTTCTTGGTTAGAGGAGGGAAGCTGAAAATAGCGAACTCAATCAGCAGGAGCCTGGGTGGCTCAGTCGGTTGAGCATCAGCTCAGGGCATGATCTCACAGTTTGTGAGTTTGAGCCCCACATTCGGCTCTGTGCTGATAGCTCGGATCCTGGAGCCTGCTTCAGATTCTCTGTCTCCCTCTCTCGCTGCCCCTCCTCTGCTTATGCTCTGTCTCTCTCTGTCTCTCTCTCAAAAATAAATAAACACTAAAAAAAAAGGGGGGGGGTGGGATTCAATCCGGACTTGAGCCTGAACCCAACCCAAAAGAGCAAGGCCCCTCCCCTCCCAGATCTCATCAGCTTCTCCAGCTCTGCTCCTCTGATTACTCACAAGCCTGCAAGATTCCAACGGGTCACAAGGTGCAACACTCAATCTGGTCAGGCGCAAGGGACACCCTTGAGGTCATAGTCAATCTGTTCCCGATGGATTCAGGCCAGAGGCAAGCATATCATGGTTCCATGGTTCCCCTCGCTGAGGCATTAGGAACAAGCACTCACTCTGGCCTTGGGGACCTCTGAACTCGCTCACAGGGTCCTGCTATCCAAGCTCACCCCTCCCTCACCCACATCCCCTGCATGTCACCCCTTCCTGGAATACCCTAATGTCTCCCTCCCTTCCTGATAGTCTGCCCAGATGCCTTTTCCTGGAGGCTATGCACAAGCAAAGGGGAGTCCCCAAGTAGGCACGGACGGTGGGTGACCAGGAGTCAGAGCCGAGGGCCCTGACATCGGATGGACTTGTCTTTGGGCCTAGTGCAGAGTCACTGCAGGAGCTCTGAGGAGGGCAGCCATGTCCGATACCCAGATTCTAGTCCCCGCTCTGTTGGTCACCTATGCAGGTCACTGCCCCACTGGGTATAGGTCTCCTTATCCACCAATGGGATCGATATGCATGGTCAGCCAAGACCTGCAGTCTCCAGGTACCTGCCTGGAGATCCTGAGTATGAGGAGCTGACTGCCCCCCTGGGTAGGCATCGTGACTTTTGCATGCCTCCCCTCCCCCCACCGCCCCCACCACACCCCCCAGGTAGATTCAAAGAAAATCTTGGCAGTAAGTCTCTTGGAATCTAAGTAACTGAGGGTCAGCCCCCTGCTCAGCAAGGACCTCCCCAGATCTCTATCACCTTCTTCATCACCACCCCTCCAGTCACCAAGCCACTTGGGTGCCAGGCACCTGTTAACCCTTACAGCTTATTTCACTCCTCCCACAACCTGCAGGGGAGCACCCAGAGGGAACTGAGTTGGGGTGGTTCTGCACATCTTCACAGCCAGGAGTGGAGGAGCCGGGGCCCCACTCCTGCCCCCCACACTCCTTGCTGCCTCCTCCATGGCACCACCGTGACCTGGAATCCAGACACAGTTGCCACAGCAGCAGTAGCAGCAACAGAAGCTTGGCCCCCACCGTCCTTACCACCTCCCTGCCCCCCAAGCTCGGGGCAGTACCTGCTGCTGGTGTGTGAGCCTTTGGTGCCCTTAGGGAGCCAAGGGCTGAGACTCCAGGCTCTCTGCCTGGGAGGGAGCAGGGTTCTGAGATGCAGTCTGGATCTCTGGCAGTAAAAGCAGATTCTCTCTCTCCTGCCCCTGCACACCAAGGGAACGCTGTGGTCTCAGGTGAGGCTCTCAGAGAACTATTGTGCCTGGCAACCTTTTGGTCTTTGCTTCTGACAGCCCTATAAGCTGTCAGGCAAGGTGAATCGCATTGGCCCCAGCCTGCAGATGAAGAAACTGAGGCCCTAGGGAAAACTGACTCGCCCAAGGTTCCACAGCCTCCCCTCTGCCTCTTGGATCCCTTGCCGACCAAACTTAGGGCTCCCACTTACCAGCCTGGGAGGAGAGCTGGGCCCCCATCAGCCTGGGATCCTCGGGCACGGATACCTGGATCTGGAAGGAATTGTCTGGAGAAGGCCAGTAGACAGGTTTCCAAAGGCTCAGCAGGTCCCTTCGTTATGGGTCAGGATCATGTTACATAGTTGATGATTAATTAGATGTTGCTGTCACGGGTTATGATATCCAGGGAATTTCCTGATGATTGCCTCTGGCTCACCACAGAACCGCTGCAGCTGGCTGACCTAAAAGGAAGCAACGACTGGGGAGGTGGCCCGGGCAGGATTTAGGATAGACTGCTCCCTTACTTCTGACCAGTCGTTCTCCACCAGGCTGTGCATTATCATGGCTTGAGGCACATTTAGAAGTACTCACGCGCAAACTGATCCCAGTGGCACAGGGTGGGGCCCAGCATCAGTAGTTTATAAAAGCACCCTGGATGATTCTAATGTACAGTCAGGGTGGAGATTCACTGCTACAGAGCCCGGCACACACACAAGGTGCTTAATCAATGTTGCTGAAGTGGATTGAATTGAATTGGCTGCATCCCAGAACCTGTGAAGTTGCCCCAGCCCTGGGTCTCAGGCAGAGAGGAGAGGGGTGAGTCAGACCGAACGGGAGAGGTGTTGATTGCTTCCCCAACCTTGCTGGAATCAGAATTCCACTTTCCACAATCCACTACAAAATGCATATAGTCCCACAGGACAGGTCACGCCAGAGGCCTGGCTCCCAGTGTGTTAGCTGTGGCAAAGAAGTCAAAGATCTGGGATCCCTGGCTGGCTCAGTCGGTAGAGCAAGTGACTCCTGATCTCAGGGTGGTGAGTTCAAGCCCCATATTGGGCATGGAGTCTATTTTAAAAAAAAGCGAAAAAAGTCAGAGATCTTCTGCCCCCTCCATTCCTATAGGGAAACTGAGGCTGGTAGAGGGAAAATGGCTTGTTCTAACCTGGTGCTTCTCACATTGCAACAGGCACATGAACCTCCTGGAGATCATATTAAAATGCTGATTGGTTCAGAAGGTCTGGGGCTATGGCTGGAATCTTACTTTTCTAACAAGGTGGTTCTGTGGAACCCACTTTAGGTGGCAAGGCTCTGGGTTAGTTTGGAGACTTATGAGTATCCTGGCCCTCCACCTCCAGGCTAGGACCTTCCCCAAGACCCCAGATCAAGGTCATGATCAGTGACTACTCTGAACTCAGCTATGAGGATAGATATCCCCATGCCTGTCCCAGGAGGAGCTGGGGACGGTGGTGCAGGTGACTGGGCTGGGGAGATTGTGGAAAAGGATGAAAGCGGGGTGCCTGGGTGGCTCAGTCGGTTGGGTGTCTGACTTCGGCTCAGGTCATGATCTCACAGCTCATGAGTTCAAGCCCTGCATTGGGCTCTGTGCTGACAGCTCAGAGCCTGGAGCCTGCTTCAGATTCTGTGTCTCCCTCTCTCTCTGCCCCTCCCCCACTCATGCTCTGTCTCTCTCTGTCTCAAAAATAAATAAACATTAAAAAAATAAATAAAAATAAAAAGAATAATTAAAAAAAAAAAAAAAGAGGGGCGCCTGGGTGGCTCAGTCAGTTGAACGTCTGGCTTCGGCTCAGCTCATGAGTTCAAGCCCCGCGTCGGGCTCTGTGCTGACAGCTCAGAGGCTGGAGCCTGCTTCCGATTCTGTGTCTCCCTCTCTCTCTGCCCCAACCCACTCGCATTCTGTCTCTGTCTCTCTCAAAAATAAACATTAAAAAAAATTAAAAAAAAAAAAAAGAAAGAAAGAAAAGGATGAAAGGTCTGGAGACCCAGGTTCTGCCTCCTGTGTTTTCTTCCCCTCCCCTGCCCTTCCTGGGCCCTGGTGTCCCCATGTGTAAAGCAGGAAGCCAAGGTGAGCTGGTCTATGGGCCCTTCTAGCACAGACATGCTGTGACTTTAGTCTCGGCAATGGAGAGGTGACAGCGGTCTGGCCCCAGTACACCTCAGAAGATCTGCCTGGACCCTGGACCTTCTCTTGCATACCACACCCCAGGCCAGGCTCCCTCAGTTTCCCCCTCTAGAAGCAGTGTTCTAAAGGCCAAAGGCAAACTGGTCAAGAGCAATCACAGTGAGTCCAAGGTTGGTTCCAGCTGGTCCAGTCTGAGGCAAGGGCCCCACGCTTTATGGTCCTGCTGGCCCAACCTGAGGGATCCAGGCTTAGGGCATCCCCTTATCTCTTATCAGTGCCGGGGCCCAGAGTTCCCTCCCCTCTCTCCGTGCCCTGGCTCCAGGCGTATCACTGGCTGCCTTGGGTGGTGACCAGACCGCTGGAGCCCAGAGCACCTTGTTGATAAGCCACATTCTTACAAAAGATGTGATTATGGAAGCTTATCAGGGAAATCAGGTCCTGGGCCTCAGGCCTGGTGGAAAATTAGCCGGCAAGTCCTAGACCTCAGGGTATCCGATGCCGACAGGCTGAGGTGGTATGGTTCCATCTTCAGGACCGTAGTGGGAGTAGGCCTTTCTGGGAACTACAACCCCACCTCAGGCCTTGACACTCGGGGCGCGGGGGTGCCCAAGCAGCACCTCCATCACCCACGCCCATGTTTGTTCACTTAATGAACACCGCTGTTCTAAGCCCAGTACTGTATTAACTTGATAACCCTCGTGGCAACTTCTCAAAAATACCTATTTATTGTAATCATTCCCATTTTGCAGACTGGGAGAACAAGGCACAAATCAGTGAAGCAAATTGTTTATAGCCACAAGGCAGTGCCTCGGCCTTGGCCCTCTGGCTGGAGAGCAGGTGCCTTGACCACTGTGCTAGTGTCACCGAACCAAGCCCATAAAAGCTGACAGAGCTTTTGCGGTGAAGAAAGATAGGCTATTTATTGGTGTGGCGCTGCCGGCCGGGAGAACGGGGTGGGGGGGGGGGGGACGGGGAGGGTGGCTGGCGCTCCCAGTCCCGAGCTCCCGATGGCTTACAAGCAGGGGTTTTTAAAGGATGAAAATCCAGGGTAAGGGTGTCAGGATCTAGGATCATGCCGAATGATTAGGGATGAGGTTGGCTATAATATTTCCTCTCTTGATCATCTGCCATCTCCCGGACTAATGGCGGTAAGGCGATGGTTCCGCTTCGGGGGCCTGGAATTGGGACACATTCTCAGCAGATGGCAGACTGTTGTCCTCTCTAGAGCACAAGGGCAGAAATTCTCCATCCTGTGACTGTCACTAAGCTGCAAACGAGTATGGTTATTTTTTCTTGCCAACATGGCACATTATGTTGGGTATCTCAGGCAGAACGGCATCCCACAGGCTTTTCGGGAGGCAACTTTTTCTTGTTTCTCTGCAGATGTATAAAACAGTAAAGGGGCTCTGGTCGGAGGCAGCTAGGAGCCTGTATGTCTGACTCGTGGGGTCTGTGGGGGCTTGCATCAGTGGTTTCACTATGCCCCTTCCATGCCTCCTCACTTATGCCACTGAGCAACTTTCGGAGCATTTATTGACCCTCTCTGTTCAACTGTGCTGACACACAGTAGGAGCTTTGTGGATTGTTGCTAACGGGTTGCCTGAGTGTGAGGCAGAGGCCGCCTCAAGATGATGGAGACAGCACCCTCTCCTCCCCTCCAGGCCACCTCCACGGCAAGGCAAGACTGCTGTGTACCTTTGCTCCAAGGGAGTGACTAGCCCTCTGGAGGAGGGCGGCCTCCGGACAGTCATTGAAGCGTCCCCTGGTGGCTGTAGTCAGTACTGCAGGATGTGCTGAGGCCCTCAAAGCTAGGAGGGCCAGGGAGGTCGGAGGGTGGAGCTTCTGAGGCCTCTGCGCCTCCTCTCCCGATCCCGAAGCTCCTCAGAGTCCCTCCGTCCCTCCTCAGGCTTCCCTCACTGGCTGTCAACCCTCAGTTTGCCCAGGGACCCATCATTTCAAAGGGCTTTCACAGAAGTCATCTCCTAAGTTGCCTCAAGCGCTCTGAGAAGCTGCTGGAAAACTGTTTCAATCCCCACCATACAGCTGAGGAAGCCTAGCACTTGCCTAGGGCTCATGACAACTGTGGTGGAACAGAAACGGAAAACCAATGGCAGCCCAGCCCCTTGTGTCTCCCACCACGGGCGCCCTGGGACCCCTACCTTACGACCCCTGCCTGTGTTCAGCTGCTCCCCACTGGGCCAAAATCCGGGAGGGCAAGGGGCTGCCATGCCCGGAAACCAGCCCCTGGAACAATCGGGGCTGGGTGCGCAGTAGGTGGTCAGCAAGGATTTGTCCATGCCAAACAGCGCAGCCTGGCAGTTTCTTCTAAAATTGCTGGTCCGCCTACCCAATGACCCAGAGATGCCGCCCGTAGTGAGTATCCAATGTACTTGGGTGCAGGTGTCCACGAAGACTGACATGAATCCTCAGAGCAGTGTGATTCATGACAGCCCCCGACTAGAAACCCATCAGTAATCTGTCTCAGGGGCTGCTCCCTGGGGAACCCAACCTCCCCCACCCATCAACAGGAGAGCGGAAGAATATTACCATGCAGTCATACCATGGAAGACTCGTGGCCACAAAAACGAACAAATTACTGTTACCCACAGCATGGTTAAACCTCGCTGATGTGACGCTGACCTCAGAGAAGATCCAGAAAGCCCCCACTGCGTGCCTCCATTTATATGAAGTTCAAAAACTGGCTAAAGGAATGTATGGTGTTAGGAATCAGGATAGTGCTCACCTTTGGGACTTAATGACCGAGAAGGGGCACAAGGGAGCCTCTGGGGTGCTGGAACTATCTTCTATCTTGTTTGGGTGATGTGTATACATGTGGAAAAATTCATCCAGGTGGACGCTCAACTTGCATGTTAATTGTACCTTAATTAAATATTGGTTAAATTCCCTTCCAGACCTAAAACTCGTATTCTGAGTGAGCTGATAAATGATGGATTATCCACACTCCCTTGGAAAATCTGCCCGAGGAGCCAGAGTGCTTGGCTAGCACTGCCGCCTGGTGGAGAGAAACGGAACTGACTGTGGGTCTGATAACCCTGGAGGGAAATGGTTGGGGACCACGCAGGCTCCCACCTGCATCCTTGGGTACTGGTTCTCCTTCCGTCCACTTGATTCCTGCCGATGAGCCATCTAACAACTCTGTTGGGGGGCTACCATATCCTTTGGGTTAATAGCTGGACCCCCACTCTGGGCCTTGGGGGCCAGAAGTCAGGAGACAGAGGC